TTCAAGACACCTATACATGTCTATTATCACAATTGTTCCTCATGGCTGAGTGTCAAGATCAACTAGTCAGATAGTTTTATATCAAATTTTCAGATAAACATATAGTGGATCTAAGAATTTCAGTTGCTTCTTCAAGGGTAACAGACTCTTTGCAGTCTAAGTCTTCTGATTCAAAATACAATGCTCTTTTCCCTTCCCTGTTAGTTCTAATAAATAAAATAGAGCCAAAAAAATTTGATCAATTCACCTGAAATTCTTCAAACTCTCATCTTTTTACTGCCATGTTTATAAAATTTCTTAAAACTCCCCATCATCCCTCTTAATTATTTAAATTCAGGCAAGTCTATTTCATTGCATCATAGCTTTCTAACATGTCTTAGCATGTCCGATGAATCGTTAATGGTACAAGAGAACAAGTGAAACTAGGAAATATGTTGAAAGCTATTTGGGACCAGCACTATTATTATAACTCTAAATAGTTAAAAAGTTATTAAAATATATAAAAGCTTACCATAGAGAAGTACTTCTATTTGCTGAACAATTAAAGAAAGCTTGGCTCTATGAAGTGCAGGAATATTACAACTAATAAAAGCATAAAAGCACTAGTCGCATCTTAAAATGTTCTAATATCATGTAATTTGCAAAATTCAAACTAATATATAATCGTTTAAATAAGCCTATCCTCAATTTAATTGGGATTGTATAAAGGGCACAAGGAATTTAGAATTTAGGGCAATAAAACTTGAAAAACAATGATATTCCCTTGATAAGAATATTAAAATTATTAAATTAATTTCGTGCACACCAACACTGAGAGGATTAATTTTATTTTGGACCAACAAATAAAATAAATAAAAGCAATTTAGACTCACTCTACTACTTATCAAGCCCTTTTCTTCATGCTCCCAAAAGTTCATTGCTAGGAGAGATGACCCTGAAAACAGATACGTTAAAATGATTTCCCCAATGTCAAAAGCCAGACAGGGAAGCAGGACCAGTTCCAGAGCATTCAGATTGTCAATCTTGTTATTACTTGCACTGCTTCCACACAAGGAAAGAGGCAAAAACAAATCCCACTGTTCGGCTTGGTTACTAGCCTCAATCTCTGTAGCTCATTTCTCTGACCCATTACAAACTAGCTCTATTTTTGAAAGAAGGGCATTTTATTTACAAAATTATATGAAGTTTGACTTTCTTCAGGTACTGAATGAGGTTCTTTTGTTCCATTAATTGCTTCTCTAGGAGGACATTACCCCTGGGAGAACATTAGCCCCCATGTCATTGAAAAGACTAATCTGACACTCTGGGACCCACCAACTTCTCTTCTTGCTCTAGGGGCTCCGAGTCAGCATTAGAATTAAAGTGAGAAAATGCTCTGCTTAACTCCTTTTACATGAAGTAGGGAAGGAAATCTTCTGGGTTATTCATTGACAATAAAGATATTAATTTACAAAGCCTCTCTTCTCAAAGTGCAAATGAATATGCAGTTGATTTAACAGAAACCTTGCACAATGAGGCTGATATCAAAGAATTAGAGCAGGGTAGATAGAAAATGAAAAAGAGACACTGTAACCATGTAACAACCCAGACAGAAGATGAGCTTGTGGTGATCTCTCCTGTAGACTTGAAACTAGTAAACACCTACACACCTGTGTTCTATTTTTAGAAGGTAAATTTCTCTAATGAACAATGACTTACTAATACTTAATCTGAAAGAATAAGCAGATGCCTGGTTTAACTAATTAACTGGGCAATTCTCCCCTCTGTCCCCATGATTTTGGCTTAGGTCCCCATGATTTTGGCTTAGGTTAGGGTTCTAACTATGTATGTCTGAACTGGATTGCAGGAGAGATGAATAACACTATTCTTACCTTAAGGTTTAGTACAACAGTGCTTCTATTTTATCTATGTAAGCATCCAAGAATAAATGTTTATTAATCATACTTGAATAATTTTTAAAAGGAGAAGAAAATAGTTTTAAAAATTAAAAATTCTCAGAAAAGTAACCCATGTATACTACAGTTTGGGAATTTGAATGTACAAAGATCCAAACAGCAAATGCACTGTTAATGAGAAACTCAAGTTATCATTTGTGATATATGATGACAGAGGCTATGAACAACTTTTGAATACAAAAGAAAAATAATTGCAAAAGTTACAGAATTACAGAATTTCCCTTCCATTGACAATTAAATTCAGACTTGACAATTAAATTCCAACCTTACCTCATTAGATATTAATCTTACAATGGAAATGAGAGGCTTTTAAAGGGGTATTTCTGCTACAATAAAAAATGCTCTCACTACAGTAGAACAATAAGGTTATGTTCAGCATTAGGAGTAAAACTATTAGGCCTCGTTAGCTAATTATGGTATTGGCATTCACTTAAGTTAGTCAGTTTCTCACTTATGTCATTTTCTCCTATTCAACTGCTGCAGTTCAAAACGTTTTGACTGCTTAAAAGGGAATACATCATTGTTGCCTTTCCCCAGTCTAACTGCACACCACTTTCCAAAGCAATAGCTTCAATCATGCTTCATAAAATCCCCTGCAAGTATATTGTTGGAAACATAAATCAGCAAGCTAGGATTTTAGTATTTCTAAGGCAAGCCTAGGGATCACTGACTGGCAGTTTTTCCATGGCCTCATTTAAAAAAGAATAAACAAAATTCTGAGTTACACTAGGTCTATTTTTTAAAACACAGCTTCCAGTGGTGTGTCTGATACTTGCTGCTGCATCCTTAATTAGAGAACAAAACACTAGCATAAAGGAATTGGGCTCCGGGATGAGGATTTCTATTTCCAGGCATCTCTGACTTCATTAGGACACACAGCACAGAAGTACTACATGTTTCTTTTCACAAAAGCTAGGTCCCTCTGATATGCATCTGTGTCTCCAGGAGTGCCATGCATTCGCATTCTGAAATTGTACTAGATAAGAGAGATCATCTTTACAAGGATACTTTCCTTCTACTGTTTCATTACAGTGAATATGGGCTTTCCTCCAGACATGGTTCAGTCTCAGAGCCCCTCTTTATAACCACCTCTATTCAGAATTATAAATTAGCTGAATTACAATGTCACATATACATTACCTATATAGACCCAAATTATATATGTCTATGTGTAGTATTGAAGCCTAGCTATCTAAATATTCCTAGATTTCCCTTGTATCCCCAAATTCCAACACACTTAGGCTCTGCAATGATAAATGCATAGATTCTTCTTCTCCAAACCACTCAAAATGTAATCATAAAGTCTGCATAAATTTGCTTCCTATTAAGCCCCCATCTTTCTCCACACTATCTACACTTACTTAATTGCAGTTGTATTTTAACTGAAACGTTCAGGGACTGCTTCTTAGTATTCAGAAATACCTGTCTATATTATAAATGAACAGTTAAACACAATCAGCAGGTCTCCAAAATCAAAGCAGCAAATCTGTAGGGCATAAGTGTATGTTAATCTTTGCTATAAGAGCAATTGAATGAACAGTCTGAGCTGATACTAGTTTCAGATGGACATAACTACAATTTTGCTAATGCTGAAATATTCCATGCTCTGTGTTATTAAGGGAAAATGAGTAGCAAAATGAGTACCAAGACACTTTACAAACTATGGCAACATATAGTATTTGCATTCTGATTTCTGAACTAAAATCTGCATCCCATCGTGTTTCATCAGTCACTAACACTACAGCTTCAGGGAGAAGGGCAGAGAAAGGAAGGCTTCACATCCAAAATGTCAAGCCCTGCTGAAGAATGATAGAAAGACTAGAAGAGCAGAAACAACCATTTTCTGGCTTAAAATGGAGTTCTACCACCCCCTGCTGGACTAAATGAGCAATACAGGAGCAGCTAAAAAATGCTTAGAATTGAATATAGTGGAGATATTTTAACTTGTCTTGTAATTTATTATTTTCTTTAAAAAAAAAAAAAACAATTCCATGCCACACTAGTAATATAACATTATCTACAGTTATTACACATCTCAAAATTAGTGCTATTTTCATTTCCTTTAAAGACTTCCACTAAATGCATGTTTTAGCATTTTGTGCCCCCAATTAAATGTCCAAACTTGTCTGGACAGTAGAAAATGCTTCCATTCATTGTAAATATATTTTATGTGACGGTGTTGTATCTAAACAAGCAAGACAGATTCATATCTATGTCTGTACAGACAAACAGAGGTAGCTTCCACAAATTCTCTCTCAGGTTATCCTACTGGGCTATTCATTTTTTCTTTTAGAGATAAAAAATCTCCTACCACCAGTTCACCACAACCCCCAAAATCTCTTACAGGTGCAATTACAATCTAACGTTATAAAATTTTTCAACCTTGCTGTATTAATAAGGGGTTGGGAGGCAGGGGGGTCAAAAATGAATGACTGCAACACATCCCTAATTTTATCCATTTGCTTTCTTACACACAACATCCATGGCCCCTCTCTTAGTTTCCAACAGAAATAAGCCATCATCGTTCACTTGATAGTCAGAAATTAGGGTCTTGGAGAGAAGGGGGGGAAAAAGTCCCAAGAATTGAATCTCTTGCACACAACAGATATTTTACAAATGAGTTTAACGTTGATAGTTTTTCCTGCTTCTGTAAAGCACCATCGTGCCCTTTCCTTCCGCAACCTCAGCTATTTAACTGTTAAAACACACCAACATGCTCATCCAATTTTTGATAATGAAAATAAGAGAAAGCCAAAAATCCCAGGAAAAGAAGCAATTTGCCCCGATCTCCTGCTCGTTGATCCCCATCTTCAATTCTGTATTTTTTTTTTCCTTTTTCTTCTTCTCTTATTTAAGGGTCTCGACAAAACGGATACAATTTTAGGGGCAGCTAACAGAGAGAGCGAAAATAATAATAACAACAACAACAACAATAACTGTAACTTTAGTTATTTCCTTTAATTCTTCCTGCGCCTCCCTCTCTGCCTCTCTTGGTCGGGTGGAAGGGGGAGGGAAAGTAAATGCAATAAAGCACCACACTCCTACCTTGCCCGCTACTGACAAGCAACCCGAGCAGGTAGAAGGAGAGGAGGAGGCTCATGTTCAGGACGTGACACCGGTGGACAGTTTCAAAGTTATTAAGTCCAGCCCTGGAGAGAGAGAACCTTCCGCTGCCCTGGCCGCCTCTGCTAGAGCCGCCGCCGCTCCCGGGGTGCCCCAGCCGCCCGCAGCCCGCGCGCTCCTCCTCGCAAAGTGACTGCAAGCTCCGCTCTTGCCGCACTATATCCAGGCAGCGGCGGCGGCAGCGGCGGCAGAAGCAGCAGCAGCAGCAGCAGCGGCCGCCGCGGCGGCAGCAGAGCCGGGCGGGGAGGGAGGCGGGGGCGGGGGCTCGGGGAGGGGAGGCGCGGCCGAGGCGTATCCCTCCGCGCCGCACGGCGGTCGCTTACTCCCTCCAGGCGCGCAGCCCCGGGATTCGTCCGCAGTCGAGCCCAAAGCCACGGGTTCGGTCCCCGGTGCCTCCAGCTAGGGTTGCCGCCGCGACCCCGCGGCCGCCACCGGTACGCCCGCGAGAGACGGCGCCACTCGCCTGCCAGCCATCTCCAGGCTGATGGACGCCTCTGGGCCGAGCAGGGGGAGGGCAGCCTCGAGCTCCCTCGCAGCCGCCGGCCACTTCGGGAAAGCCGAGCTGCTGCTGCCGCGGGGCCCCGCACCCCAAGCGCGCCTGGGCTCAACTGGAGCGGGGCTCCCACTCTGGGGCGGCGGGCGGTGGGGGTCCCGCAGCCCTCGCTCCTTCAGGGGCGTGGGAGGAGGGCGATTCTGTGCCTCCTCTCTCGCTCCGGCCCGGAGCAGGCTGGCACCTGGCGCGGCTGCCCGCTCCCCACGCTTGCCAGTCGCCGCGGCAGAGAGGAAGCAGTTGTCCTCCGCCGGTGTCTACACTGCCCGTCTACTCGGACGCTAGAGAGGCTAGGCGGAAAGATGTGCGGAGTGTTTCTTTTACATCTCGACCGAGCCACTGCTGAGAGCAGTGCCCTGAGGGAGAGACCCTGGGGAGGGGTCGAGGAGTGGGGAGGGCTGCGTTCAAGTCTGCTGTCGGCCTTAGCCGTGTCCTTAGAGCAGTGCAGAGTCTCGCCTTGCCTCACTCTGCGGGCTCTGCCCCGGTCCCCAGCGCGCACCGTAAGTCAGGTCCCCGCGAGGGGTGCGCCAAGGGAGGTCCTGCAAGTGCGCCAGGACGAGTCGTGCGGGGACCCTTCCTCAGGCCAGTCCCGCCTGTCCCCTTCCCCCACACCCACCTGCCTGCGTGGGTGCACGAGTGTACACTGAAGTGAGGGGGGGGAGGTTGACACCAACCCATAACTAACTCTTTTTTTCCTGAAGGTTGGGACATAATATTATTTCTCCTGGAAGGGTAGGAAAAGGATGGTCAGATCAATGTCAAATCTCCTGCAAGAGTGGGTAAGAGCCGGGATCACTGGACCCAGGGCCTTTGTGGTTCTGGGCCCCCACCCTTGTCATAGCGACCTGCTACAACTGACTGACTCCTCAGAGTACTCAACTGCCTGCCCCAGGCTCAGGGAGGACTTTTGGCTCTTTCCTTATCAAAGAGGGCACGGAAATAAGAAGGGATATAAATATCCTAGAGCTCGGAATCTAGCTCCTGCCTGGGGACTCGATGCTGGAATGGACGTTTCATTGCCTTCACAGAGAGGGCTAGGAACGAGAGTAGACAGAAAGTACCATGGATAGGGGAGATACTGTCTGCCGCGAGTCCTCTCCAGGCAGAACGGTTTATACAGATGATTCACTTACTTGGCATCCTGGGATGGAGTTATCAGAAAGAGAGCAGGAGGAAAGGCAGGTCTCAACGCTCACCATTGCCAGACTCCTTTAAGCAACAGTCCTCTCAGTACCTCACAGCTTGTGAGCCTCATTTTTCCTCTTGATTTTATAGCAGACAATATATTTAGGAAGTTATTTTGCCAAGGCATCCTCCTCATACCCTTTACTAGTTCTGGGATGTACCAACCCCACTTAAGCTCAAGATCAGATCTTTGCAGGAAAAGGTGGAAACAGAACATTCATAGGTGTGAAAGACCAATAAGTGATATATTGACACCTTTTCTTGATTTCTCTAGGGGGTCAAGAAATGCTATTCAGCCAGCCTTCCATATCTACAGTTCTGGATCCTCAGATTCAACCAACCTTGGATGGAAATTATTTTTTAAAAGTAAAATAGAATAATAATACAATGATAAAAACACTACAAATAAAAACAATACAGTATAATGACTATTTGCATAGCATTTATATTGTATTAGGCATTACATGTAACCTAGAGATTATTTAAAATATACAGAAGAATGTGTTTTAGTTATATGCAAATACTATGCCATATAAAGGACTCGAGCATCCAAGGATCTGTGGGGGGTCCTGGAACCCATACCCCTGCGGATACCAAAGGATGACTGTACACACACATACACACACATGCACACACACACACAATCACAGAACATAGTTTAAAGGATACTTACTAGCTGTGCCAAATGGCCTCTTTACCAAACCTGCAATTTTTCAACCTGACATCAGGAATAGCCAAGTGCTTAGCGCATGCACGCACACACATACACGCGTGAGCGTGCCCTTTCCTCCCCCTCCTCCACAATCAGGGAAATACTGACAATTGGTTTCTCTTCTACATCATTACAAGTCGAATTACTTTTATCTCAGGCAATGGGTTAAACCATGCCAGAAGAGAATTTGTCTAGAAGCCTAAGAGGTAATTTAGACATTAAATCTTCTTACGGTAAGGTCAGTGAGGAAGTGGGTAGCAATAATCTATCAGGCATTAATGAAATTTCTGATTAGTGGTTTGTCTTAATATTGTAATCCTGTGTGTAGGTGTGTGTACGTGTGTGACAGAGAGAGTACATCCGTGTGTATAGAAAAGATAATGGACAAACCATTGGTACTCAGGAATATAGAAGGGTGATACAACTATTGATTCTGTCCCTCAGTTTCCTAATAGTCTCTTGTTGGAGAGATCAGGCATAAGCACACAATTCGATCATATAAATCAGGTTGTAAAGTTGACATAAGAAATGTGAAAACAAGTTTCTATTGTGGCATAAGAGGAGGGGATCATTTCTGAATAGGGGATTAAGAAAGGCTTTGAGAAGCTTTGAAGAAAGGGTAGAAATTAGATAGAGACTTGAGCAGAGCAGAGAAAAATTTAAGCAAAGCCTGGGGGTGTGAAACCACACAACGTGTGTGGAAAGCACAGAGAAGTCTAATTTGAAAAACACGTGGAGTGTAAAATAAAAAGGTGGGATAGTTTTGCTAAGAAACCTGATAATTATTTAATTTTTTTATTTTTAATAATTATGGGTATGTAACAGCTGTATATATTTATAGGGTACCTATGATGTTTTGATACAGGCATGCATATAATGCATATTAATCAAATGAGGGTAACTGGGGCATCCACCAGCTTAAATATTTCTCATTGCTTTGTGTTAGGAATAATCCAATTCCATTCTTTTAAAGTATACCATAACTTGTTGTTGACTACAGTCACTCTGTTGTGCTATCAAATATTATTCATTCTATCTAACTATTTTCCCCCAATTAACTATCCACACTTTATCTCTCCTTTATCTCCCCTTTATCTCCCCTTCTCACTACCCTTACCAACGTCTGGTATGATCATTTATTCTATTCTCTGACTTCATGATATCGATTGTTGAAATATTTAGTCCCACATATGAGTGAGAACATGTAAAATTTGTCTTTCTGTGCTTGGCTTTTGTCACCTAATGTTCTCGAGTTCCATCCATGTTGCTGCAAATGACAGGGCTTCATTTTTATATGGCTAAATCATATGCCATGTGTATATGTTTATATTTTCTTTATCCAATCATCCACTGATTGACATTAACGTTGATGCCAAATCTTAACTATTGTGAATAGTGGTGCAATAAAAATGAGAGTGCAGATATCTTTTCAATAGACTGATTTTCTTTCTTTTGGATATATATCTAGCAGTGACATTGCTAGGTCATATGGTAGTACTATGTTTAGATTTTTGAGGAACCTCCATACTGTTCCTTGTAGTGAGTTGCACTAATTTGCATTTCCACCAATAACGTATGAGGGTTCCCCTTTCTCCATATCCTCACCAACGTTTGTCATTGCCTGTCCCTTTGATAAAGGCCATTTCAATCAGGGTGAGATATCTCATTATAGCTTTGATTTGCATTTCTTTGATGACTAACGATGTTGAGCATTTTTTCATATACCTTGTGGCCATTCATAGGTCCTCTTTTGAGAAATGTCTGTTCAGATCTGTTGCCCATTTCTTAATAAGATTTTGTTTCTATTGAGTTATTTGAGCTCATTGGATATTCTGGTTATTAATCCCATGTCAGATGGATAGTAAGAAAATATATTCTCCCATTCTGTGTGTTGTCTCTTGACTTTGTTGATTGTTTCCTTTGCTGTGCAGCAGCTTTTTGCTTTATGTGATCCCATTTGTCTAATTTTGCTTTCATTGTATATGTTTTGGGGGTAGTACTCAATAAATTATTGCTCAGACCAATGTCCTGGAATGTTTCCCCAATGCTTTCTTTTAGAAGTTTCATAGTTCTAGATCTTAGATGTAAGTCTTTAATGCATTTTGGGTTGATATTTGTATATGGTGAGAGATAAGGGTCTAGTGTCATTCATCTGCATATTGATATCCAGTTTTCCTAGCACCATTTATTGAAGAGACTGTCCTTTCCACAATGTATTTTCTTGGCACCTTTGTCAAAAATGGGTTCACAATAGATGTGTGGATTTATTTCTGGGTTCTCTATTCTGTTCCTTTGGTCTATGTTTCTGTTTTTATACCAGGACTATGCTTTTTTGGTTACTACATCTCTGTAGTATAAATTGCAGTCAGGTAATGTGATTCCTCCAGTTTCGTTCCTTTTGCTCAGGATGGCTTTGGCTATTCTGGCTCTTTTTTGGTTCCATGTAACTTTAGGATTATATTTTGTATTTCTGTGAAGAATGTCATTGGTATTTTGATAGGAATTACATTGAATTTATAGGATGCTGTGGAAAAGTTTACAATATTGATTCTTCCAATCCATGAACATGGATTATCTTTCCATTTTTTTGTGTGTCCTCTTCAATTTCTTTCACCAGTGTTTTGCAGTTTTCATCATAGAGTCTGTTCATTTCTTTGGTTAATTTTATTCCTAGATGATTTATTTTATTTGTAGCTATTGTAAATAGGATTACTTTCTTGAAGAAACAGGATATTTACAGCCTCTCAGAATGTAAGTCCTAACGTGCATAGTCAAGAA